GCCTGATCTGTGCAAAATTTTAGCTTCTTATCTTTATTCGTTTTGACTCTAGCGCGATTACAACAGACGGACGGACGGACAGGGCAAAATCGTCTTAGAATTTCACGCTGACCAAGAATATATATACAGGGTGAGATTAAAAACTGCAACAAAGTCTAAAGCCATAATTTTTACATTTTTTTTTAAATTTCATTGAATGAAAGCAAAAAAATGTCGGAAATAGCATCAAATTTTAGAATAAGTTAAGATTTGTTCGGATTGGTCAACTTTGGCACAAACAATGACCAATGAAACCGCCAAACCATGTCTGAATGTTGCTCTGCTGTATTTTGACCCATTCTTGGCGAGGCGCTTGCTTAAGGTGATCGATACATTGGTATTTTTTAGTGCCAACCTTGCTTTCCAAAATACTCCAGACACAATAGTCCAACTGATTGGTATCCGGAGATTTTGGTAGCCATTGTGCGCTGGAAATGAAGCGAGGAATGTCATTTTGTAACCATTCTTGGGTGGTGCGTGCTGAGTCCTGTTGGACTGTCCAAGGTCTGCAGCCAAAATGTCTACGTGCCGAAGGCTTTAATACATCCTCCAGAATTTTTTCGCGATAATATTCGGCATTTATTCTGATACCACGGTCGATTAATACGCACACCACACCATCACCATGGCCATGGTTTTCCAGTCAAATATAAAGAAATTCCATCACCAATAACTTTTTTGTGGAAAATTCTCACCAAAATGCTTTTGTACGCTTGTAAACAATATAATGAGCTGTCACTGGAATAATGCTAACAGCTGTCGGATGAGTGGCTTAGAAATGACAGCAGTCTGAAGTTGGTTGCAGTTTTTTTTTTTTTCATCTCACCCTGTATATTTGTTAATTGATGTCCTTTGTCAAATTTATTTTTTATATCTCTTCATTAGATATGGACTGGCAAAAAATTATATTTCATTTCAACCAAATATTTTGCCGTTTTCACGCATGGTAGACTTACTAGAAGGTAGAAGCAATACTACAACAACTACATAGAAAATTGCTATTGTTAATAATGCTAGTGTCATATGCTCTGTTCATAAAGGGAAAATCGGTTATAAAAGCTTTTACATTCATGCAGTTCTGGAACAGACCAAATATGTCGAAATACTGAATCTTATTTCGAGATAGCATTCTACACGTTACGGTTGGAAAATAACATATTATACTTTGGTGGAGGGTATAAAAACTTTGTTCGGTTTCCAATGTTCTGTTCCAGAACTGCAAGAATGTAAGATATATTACTACGATAACCGATTTTCCCTTTATGAAATCGAAGAAAATTGCAAAACTAGGAGGTTCTGGAACAGAACTACTGCCTGTCAATATTTTTAGTTGTATTAAAATATAAATATCAATATCAAATATAAATATAAATATAGATATAAATACAATCGATGTTTTTTTGTTTTGACCTTCGTTTTCTTTTGTCATACAATAACAGGTCCTAAGAATTTATATCAGCCAAAATTTATTCATACTTTAACGCAATTTCAACAATGTGTAGAACCACTGTGTCTCATTTCAGTGAAATATAAAAAGAAAAGAAAAGAAAATTGAAATATAAAAATATAAATACGAAAATGTCACTCATTTATTTGTTTGCGTCTGCGAAATATGTGGTTTGTGTCTATGATATGAAATAAAATACAGTTTGAAATGCATTGAAATGATTTATGGAAAATATGAAGCATACTGTGAGGCGCTATTATGGACTTAAATATTGTCTTGAGAATTTAAAACCTGGCCTGATTTCCTTTTGAAGATCAAAAAAGTAAAAGTAAAACATTTTCACTACCACCAATTCTTTTGTGGAATAAGATATTCCAACTGTCTTAAAGAGAAAGAAATTATCTTTCAAATGACAGCAAGCATTAGTCCACACCACTGAATTCTAAAAATTAAATATTTCAATTTTTGAGATATTACAATGACATCCTGCACAGCGTTGCAAAATAAATGTTTCTTTTTTTTAAAGTGGAAGATTTGTTTCGATACTGAGTTTTTTTTTCAGAAGCTGTGCCCATGAAAGCAGGAATAGCTATAACACTAAAAATTTCACATATTTTGACTTTCTATTTGACATATGTCCGCTATTTTGTAAGAGTAAGATGATCTTCCAAAACAAAAAAAAATTAAATTTATGTACATAGAAACACTCGACATTGGCACATTAAATAAAATTGCGGCTTGACTCTAGTTTAGTAAAAACTCTTTTTTCGACATTTTTTCCAATGGTAGGGATCTTGGGGGACGGACCTGGGACCACAGATCTTTGAAAAGAAAGTCCTGGTTCAACTCCCGCACTAGACTCGGATCCACTTACCCGATATAGGCATTTTTTATCATCAGTTCATTAAAATTATGTTTTCAATAAAAAAAAGCCTAAAAACCCGTAGAAAAGTGCAAAATTATTGCTGACATTCTTATATAATATATACAATATAAAATATATTTCCAAAATGTTACAATTTGTGCTAAACCTTTTCTGGGTCTAGAGATATGGGTATTTCCACCCTCATAACTCGATTTTAACCAGTTCATTAAAATTATGTTTTTAATAAAAAAAAACCCTTATTTCGTGTAGCCGCCGTTGGACTTGCAAAAGAATCAAATTTAAAAAACTTTTATTCGCATTAGCCTGTTTGGGATATACCCAGAGGGCAACATCTCAAGTCCCGCTACTTACAAAAATATCGAATTTAGAAATCTGTCATTCGCGTTAGCCGGTGTGGGACATACCCAGAGTAGAAACTCTCAAGCCCCTGTCCATATCCGGCTTCTTACAACAACTGTTAAATGTAGAAAACATTAGTTCGCGTAACCGGTTGAACATACCTAGAAGAGAATATCTTTAGACCAGAAAAAGTTATTAGCAGAAATTGTAGCATTTTGGAAAGGTAAGAGTGTCACCTATAATTTGGCATCACTTTTGTTGACCCCCATAATGGGTGTGTTTTCGACTTTTTGGTGGTTTTATAAAAAAACGAATCCAAAAAATCTATAATTCGACTTCCGTACCGCTTATAAATAACCCCATCATGTGGCCACCTGGATAGGTATTTTCATAAGCTTTCAAGCGATACCTATATTGTCTAGACCGGATCTTGAACCCGGGTCAAAAATCTGGGGTTACGGGTCCGCCCCCAAAGGAAAACATGATTTCCTGAATCAGGGTAAAATTACCTACTTCTGGAAAAAAATTCGAAAAAATAGATGAGTTTTTACTAATCTAGAGTTGGTCCACATTTCGGTAAGAAAATGTAACCAAGTGGTCAAGACTGTCGCTCTTAAAATCATGTCATTTTATTCAAAACTACCAACTACTTTCTCAAGCGAATTGTCATAAAAAATTGACAATTTTTTAAATATTTATAACAGATTTGTTAAGCAATATGTGACATCAACGTAATAGCGAGATGCTCTTCTTCAAATTAGGTTTGTTTTGCAAAGAAACTGGATCAGGTGGAATAGAAGAAGAGGAAAATATCCATCTTTTGATGAAATCCGATTAATGGCATTAATTATAATGACTTTTGAAGTCGAGGTGAGGATTGTCCTTACGTCCGGCCAATGCGACTTCGTCCAAATTTAACAATATATACAATATTAGTATCAAGCTTATATTGAGTTCGGATATAAGCAATATAGGTTGACATCTTTTTGTATCTTCACATCCTAATATTTATATCAGTGCTAGTTCAGGTGAGAAAATGGACAGTACCGACCCGCTACTTCTGCATAATCAAAATGTGAAATAAGAGTCCGATTGTCTTCAAATTTCGCACATCCCAATATTTCTACCAACTCTAGGCCTGGTATGAAGATATGATAAAACGGACCACTCATTTTGGTACTTCCTCCAAATCGGTCATTTTTATGCCCTCTACCATAGTATGGAGGCTATATTAAGTTTGTCATTCCGTTTATAACACCTCGAAATATACATTTTAGATCCCACAAAGCATAACTTGATCAGCATAAAATTGAATGGCGATTTAGAGATGTCCGTCCGTCTTTGGAAATCACTCTAGCTTCCGAACGAAATTGATAAAATTTAACTCAAATGCATATTATATCAATACTTTTGGTATTGAAAATGGGTCATGTAGGTCCACGTCTCCGTATAGCGCCCACATAACGGTACCTCCCGATATTTGGTATTCTGACGATTTTAGCGACATTATTATCCGGAAATGTTTCAAATTTGGTATTTGAAGTTCGTAATGGATACTACAGCCTAAGGAAGAAAATTGTCTATGCAGGTCCAGGTCTTCGTATAGCCCCGGTATAACGGTACCTCCCAAAATTCGGTATTTTGTTGATTTTAGCCACATAATTCACGGGAATTGTATCAAATTTGGTATTTGAAGCTCGATACTACATCCTACGACAGAAAATTGTCTGTGCAGTTCCACGTTTTGGTATAGCCACCATATAATGAGAAAATAGAAGGGTACTATTTTCGGTATTTTGGCGATTTAAGTGACATTATTCACCGGAAATGTTTCAAATTTGGTATTTAAAGTTCGTAATGAATACTTCAGCCCAAACAGAAAATTGGGTGTGCCGTTTTTATAGCCCCTATATAATGGCATCTTCCAATATTCGGTATTTTGATGATTTTAGCAACATTATTCACCGATTTTTTTTAAATTTCGCATTTGAATATTGTAATGGCTTATGACAACAGTTGCCTAGGCAGGTTCACGTCGTGGTATAGACCTTAATATAATGGCAAGATAAGCATACGATTCTTTTCGATCTTCGCAAGTCCCAACATATGTTACTATCACAAGATCTGGCGTAAAGATCGGATATAGCAGAAAAACCTTCAGATAATTCAAAAAAAAAAATATATTTTTGGAACTAAAGTATTATTTTCCATTGATCTTAAAAATATTTTTCCAATAACCAGCCCAAACCCACCCTATGAAACGACAAAATAAACACTCAAGGAGATATATTTACATTTAACAAATTTTACCATACCACAGGGGCACATCTGAGTAAATTTATTAAAATTATATATTAAATACATTACAATGCAAATGTCATTACGTTTAGTTTTTTTTTTCTTTTTGTTTCTATTTTTAATTTCATTTCTTCTCAAATAAATAATATATATATTTTTTTAATTTATTTTAGGTAAAATATTTAAAATAAAGCCAGTATTTTGTGGGTTTCTTCAGTTTACAATGACACAGGAAAAAAAAAAAAAACAAATTAAAATTAAACAAAATAAGAACCAATATTTGTTTATATATATATTTATAATATGTAATTATAATCATAGTAATAAACCTAAACTAATGTAAGCGTTTCTTTATACTTCTGCTTCCTTGTCGTTCGTTCGCTGGTGCAGGTGGGCCACCATTTGATGCTTGGAGAGAAAGAGAGAGAGGGTCTACTATCTGAAGCCTTCCGCCGTCGTTATCAAATTGTTGGTAGTGATATTGTAGGCTAATCTTGAATTCTTGGAGATTTCTTGGCGTATCCTTGACTTCTTTCGTCTGTGGCTGCTGTTATGGTTAGTGCTTCTGGTGTAGAGCAAATCATCCGGCGAGGTGAGCGACATCATTTGCAGATGCCAAATGGCTTTAATTTGCTGCGCCGATATACTGTGCCAGGCGAACAAAAATTCCGTATCTTGGAGATCAGTCTTGCCCGTCAATAGACGTTCACATTCGTCACTGTAGAGAACATAATGTGATGAGGTGGTTATAGTTGTGTTGGTTTGCTGGGCCAGAACACCGGTTATGTGGACATCATCGATCCAAAAGTATTTAAAATTTTGAGCGGCATTATACAGACGTAGCACCACATCCGGTGAATAGATAATGGCATAGCCGGGACAATAGGGTGGATAATAACGTTCGGAATATTCTTTGAAGCTGACACGCCACTTGGAACGATAGGAACGTTTAACCAATGAACCGGTGATCTTCTGGCAAAACAGTAGATTTTGTGGTCGGTGAAAGAGCCTCGTCGAGGCGGTAAAATTTTCTCTCGATTCGGATGCGGATGACAATGATGAACTGAATGAATTTGCAAAATTTTTCAATGACTCGTAAAGAGATTTTTTGGTGGATTTTGTCTTTTTGGTTGTATCATTAAGAGTTATAATGGTGGGTTTATTTGCTTCTTGTTGTTCCTCCTCTTCGGCCGTCGCCGACGCTCCCAGTCCCTTATCCGCAGCATGTTTTGGGGCTGTTGTGGCATTATCATTTTGCTGCTCAGCCTTGAGATATTTAATTAATTGCGGTGTATTTACATAGACATCATCATCCACCTTGATCAAGATCTGGGCATCAGGGCAATTGTAGAGGAACCATTTAAAAGCCATGACATGCTTATAGGTCATATTGCGATAATCATCCATAAAAGAACCTTGAATGATGTCGCCATATTCAGTGTTCTCCCTGATGACGTCATGCTGCAAAGATTCCTCTTGGACAGCACCCAATAGAAATAGCACCCGAATGGGTGCATCGACCATATGGCGACCAATGCTGGCCCATGTTTCGCGTATTATTTGCCGTTTCGGTTGGTTGTGCGGTGCCGAGTGCACCAGTATTAGGGCTTCCACATTTGAGCTACACACCGGCTGAGGCACAAGATAATGGAAGTCGTTTAAATCTATCAAATGATTGAAGTCTTCTTCCGGCAGTGCTGAAGAAACAGCAGTCATTTTTATCCATGATGGTGTGGGTCTTTGTATCGTTTCGAGAACACCCGTTCCCAGACTAGAAGTTAATGAATGAATATTGGCTAGGAGATCAGTAACCGTGGTGGTACTCTGTATGGCCTCCCCAGTACGATTGGATGATGTTGTTTGGCTGCTGCTGCTGCTGTTACCGTTGCTTACATTCCAATTCAAGGTAGTTGTGATAGTGCTGGAGGCATTTAGATCACTAAATGACAAATGTCTGCCCGAAAAGGGGGGACCTATCTCCTTGACATCACGATCACCCCGGCCAACACGTTGCTGTAACGATGGAGGAACATCATTGAGTTGTTGTAAATTATATCTGTTGTTGTTGCTGTTGATGCTTCCACTGCTTATAATGGCGGATGAGGCATCATACATAACCGGTTCCTGGACTGAGATCAACCATATCAAAATGCAGACATATAGGCCCACAACTATAACCCAAATGGGCGGTTTTTCAAACATGACCCTTTTGAAAAAGAAACGCTCTGTTGTCGGTCCGTTTTATTTGTGTTCAGGAGCTTCTTTCAGTTGTCCTTGTTGTTGAAATTAAAAAAAAATGTAACCGAAGATTAATTTTTTAACCTCTTTGGAGGATCTTGGCGATGGATGCTGTTCCGTGCTATACGACGAAATAGTTATTTGGGGTAATCCTGTTTTCTTTTTTGATTTGATTCTAGTCTAGCCGCTAATGGAAATTAATTACTACTAAGTATGCTTTAGTTTTGTACTTAATTTGTTGTTGCTGTTCGTCTTTTTCTAGTTGTTGTTGCTGTGCGATGATAAAAATGATTTGTGGCTGTAGTTGTTGTTGCTGTTGTTTTTGTTTGTTTACTTAAACTCTTTAGTCGATATTTGTTGAAATTTATTGCTAATGATGTGCTATAATTAGTAATTTTGTTGGTGCTGTAGTTGTTTTTGCTGCTGCTTCGATTGTTGTTGTTGTTGTAATTGGAATATTTTTTACGAGTTTTCTGGTACCGCATTGCAGTTTGTTGCAGTGTCCCTTCTGCTTTCTTGTTCTGTTTGGTTGTGTGTGCGTGGCCTTTGTGTCTGAAGGTGTGTGTGTGAGAGCTTTGGTCTTCCGGTTAAAGAAGGAGAAATGTTTTACTGAGGTACTGCAAGTAAAAGAAGAAAAAAAACAAGGTATTATTGGAGAAATTTTGGTAAAAGTAAAAGGAGTGCTAGTGTTGTGATCGATGTTGTTGGTTTTATTATGCCATTTAAAAAAAAGAAGTCGGTTTTACCGACAGATGAGCCAATTTTGTCCATTTCGTATTGGATTGTGATAATTTTAAGACAATGTTAAAATGTGCGTGAGGTACCAAATATAGTTGATCGAAGTATTCATTTTCATACTTCATTTAATACAGGTAAAACCAGTAAGGAAAATTCCAAAGTCGGGAGGAACCGGCTATATGATACCCTACGCCACTATGAATACCTAGTAGAGCTCCCGTAACAAAAGAATTTATTTAAAGTAGATCATACCACCAGTTATAATTTGCTTTTAGAGGGAACTAATATATGGGAGGCATATCCAATTCTGAATCATTTTTCACTAAATTTGACGGAGACAATTTTATCTTTTATACCAAAAGACAGTGATATAGAGTGCATGAAATCACTTCAAGAGGAATTATATTAAAAACAAGTAAGCAAAGGCTACAGTCGAGCGGGGCCGACCGTTGAATACCCTACAACACTATAATAAACGATACAGTTTATATAGGCGAGATACTCGAAAGAATTTCACAAGATATTGTGACAAATAATAAAAGAAAACCATCAGGTTTAGTTCTCTAATTTTCCAATAATAGCAACTTAAACTAATTTGCTCATTTCCAATTTATTGGTAGATGTTGCACGTAAATGGTCTTCCTAGATCCGGAACCAATATTTCACAAAGACCATTAATCTCTCAGAAGTGGCAAAAGATTAACATTTATTTTTTGTTTTTAGACTGAAACGCATCTATATGAGATACAGCCATTTGACTATATTCTTCAACTAAATCAGCGTCAACGAAATAGTCAGAAGTGCGTCTTTCCTGTATTTGTGAATTCTCCAAGTATTTTGTCTACAAAAGTTGGCAAACTATTTCGCACATTGAATATTTTTGGATGGCCATCCAAAACTGCTTGGCTTTTGCAATGTCCGATAACCCCCATTCAAATGTGCCTGAGGATCGGACGATAATTACGACCTGCTGACAATTTTGCAGTTTTCGATCATCTCCAAAAAGAGTAGGCTTCTATTCTGACCCTCATCTTATCCCCATGCAAAATTTCGTAAGGATCGGGCCATAAATGCGATCTGTATATGATATCCTGATATCCTAACTACTTAGTTTTCTTAGCTGTAGAAATATTACCAAATGTTTAATTCAAAATGAAAATATGCCAAAAATATGACAAAATTGAAAAACTATGAGAAAATATTATAAAATCAATATTTTCATCTTTAGAGAGATATTTTTATGCGATTTTTTTAGACGTATTTTGTTTCTTGCTAAGAGGCCATTTTGAATTAATGAGAACTGTCGAAATCAGTTCAGCCGTTCTCGACATATAAGAGATCTTTCAAGCATATCTTCTTTGATAGACATATATATCGCACATATTTTGCTATATATACGATTTATTGGATGTTAACATCAATGTAAAGATCAGAAGTAACCCTGTCATGGCTTTGTGATTTCGCCGGGATTTAAAATATTCGCGGTTTTATGAAAAATTTCGAAGTTTTTCAATACAAAAGATATGGTCTATTTTACCCGCTAAATATAATCCGATGACCACCTAAATTGGTAGGCTTCTTCCCCGCCCTAAACTCTAGCTACATGCGAAATTCCGCGTCGATTGGTCTATAATTGCGACGTGTATAGCTACTGCAAAATCCGACATTTTTTCAGTATTTGGTCCATTTCAACCCCTAAACATTTGGCGATCATCTCCAAAAGAAATAGGGTTCTATTCTGACATTAACCCCACCTACATTTTAAATTTCGTGAAGATCGGGCCATAATTGCGACCTGTAGAGTGATTACAAATTAACATGGACAGACGGACAGACGGACGGACGGACATACATAGCTAGATCGACTCAGCTCGGCGAGCTAGGAAGACCCATATATACTTTCCTATATGGGAAACCAATATTTCGAGGTGTTACATAAATTCTGGCCCAATCAAACTTATAATACCCCCAACACATAGTGTTGTAGGTTGTTGTAGCCGAAGTTTGCACAATAAACTTGAAATCGGATAAAGAATATTTAAGGAATCTATAACTAAGTCTTAGCCGATCTCGATTAAATTTTGCAAAGATATCTGGTACCAAATATCATTGTTGTTGAATGCATATTACGAATGTGATACATATACATATTTGGGAGCTATAGCTATATCTGACCCGATTTTCACCAAATTTGATATATTTGCCTCTAGATTAAAGTCGGTGGGATGTGCCAAAATCTTAATAAAATTTGGCAGATATATTTCTGGGCTGCATCTGATATCTAGTGCCAAATATCATTCTTGTGGAGTGCATATTACGAATGAGACGGACTTAAACACCAAATCGGATGAAACATACATATGGAACTATAGCGCTCGTATTAATCGACCAAGGCATCAGAATAAATGCCGACTATTATCGCGAAAATATTCTGGAGGATGTATTAAAGCCTTGGGCACGCAAACATTTTGGCCGCATACCTTCGACATTCCAACAGGACTCAGCACGCGCCACCCAAGAATGGTTACAAACTGAGGTTCCTCACTTCATTTCCAGCGCACAATGGCCACCAAAATCTCCGGATACCAATCCGTTGGACTATTGTGTCTGGAGTATTTTGGACAAAAAAGTTAGCACTAAAAAATACCATTGGCCGTTTGAAGGCCATAGTTCGTGCCAAAGGTGACCAATTCGATCAAATCTAAACTTATTCTAAAATTTGATGCTATTTCCGACATTTTTTGCCTTCATTCAATAAAATAAAAAAATATATATATAAAAATTATGGCGTATGACTTTGATGCGTTTTTAATCTCACCCTGTACTTAAAGCACTATCTTAGTCCGATTTCACGTTTGTTCTACACAAACTGTGTAATACCAAACCAAATAGGGTGATTATTGACACACCCGCCAAAAGTGAACGTATTTATTTAAAAGTTTGACTCCTTGTGACGGAGGTATCAAAGGCAGTCTCTGGTTGAGGAAACATTAAAATATACTTAATTTAAAGAGAATTAGTGACATGTTTCGCAAGAAGCCTCATCGCTTCCATCCTGGTACAGTTGCTTTGCGTGAAATCCGTCGTTACCAGAAGAGTACTGAATTGTTGATCCGCAAATTGCCCTTCCAACGTTTGATCCGTGAAATCGCTCAAGATCTCAAAACTGACTTGCGTTGCCAGAGCTCTGTTGTTATGGACTTGCGAAGCCTACTTGGTGGGTCTTTTTAAGGGTTGTAAATACTCAAAATGTTGACCCCTTGTGGAGGAGGTACCAGAATTATGTGGTCCGCTTCATCCCATCTTCCCAATAGATCTTGTGAGAAGTTTGAAAAGAGTCGGATGCTTGTTTTACATTTTATGAGCGTTATGGTTATTCAAAATGTTGATTCTTTGTGGAAGAGGTAGCAGAAGGAGTGGCCCGCCATATTCGATCTTCTCACCAGATCTTGTGTTGAAATATCTCACATTTCCTAAAAGTTTTGCTTATTCCAAATTTAACCCTCTGTGGGGGAGGGTGGTACTAGACGGAGTGGGTCCATATTGTCAATTTTATCTATATATCATCTGACCCAGCACTGATATAAATATTGGGATTTGCAAAGTTTGAACAAAATCGGATTACTCTTCCTTGTTTTATGAGATGTGGAGTAGATACCAGAAGTAGTGGACCAATATTACCCATCTTCGAACTTGATCTAAGTTTGATAAAAAAAAATATTACAATCTATCAAGTTTCGGCCACGTCCCTTTAGAATAATCGTGCGTACCATCGTAGGTACCAGAAGTAGTGGCCTAATATTGCCCATCTCCGAACTTGATCAAAATCTGATAATAATATTACAATCTACCTAGTTTAGGCCACATCCCTTTAGAGTAATCGTGCGTACCAGCCAGAGAGAGAGAGAGAGAGACGGACGGACACTCCTAGATCGACTCCAAATTTCCTGAAACGGATTTCGTCCAAAGAAGCCTAGGGCTAAACCCGTTATTTTTATGTAAATTTAATGAACCGTTTCAATTCCAATCGATTCTACAATACAAACAAAATTACACAAACTTTCTTTAGACCCAATTCACCTATACTTTGTATCCTCATCCGTCCCTTTCCTTGTTTTATGTAATTAAATTGTGTTCCATTAAATATTCATTCAAATTGAGCACTTTAAATGACATTTGTAAACGATGGCGAAAAAACTATTTGACCACACTAAGGCACATGCATGTGCATACAAACATCGATTGCAAATCATCAGGTGGCAGTGGTGGCGGTGGTTGGTACCTCCAGAACTAGTGAGTGCACGAATAAATGAATGAATGTGATATTAGCAAACAAACAAAAACCAAACACTGAAGTCTGCAACTAATACCATGACAATGTTTATATAATCAATTCATGGTCAATTTGTGGCCACCACGGGGAGATGTGAGTGCACGTCACATCACATCACCTCCCATATGATTGGTAATTAGTGGCTAAATAGATTATGACCAATAGGTGGGATGCTGCAAAAGCATAAAGAGGATAATTTTTTTACAACCTTGTGTGCCATCATATTGACCGTAATCGTATTATGGAATAATTCTGATTTATGTGTCTCAATTGCATCAAAGGTATTAGGAATTAGTAATAAATTGGCATGCAATAATTTGCAGGTATGGGGAAAAACTAGGGACCACAAAAAGCTCTTTGCCGACGCGACAATTTGCCACTTCAGCATGAACATGAAATGGGGGGAGGGGGAAATAATTTTGGATGAACGGAAATGAGATATACCTTTGCCGAGCTAAAAATACTAGGCTGAGTTTAGGGACTATGAAGGTACCAGAAGTACTTAATGCATGAAATATTGTATTATGTGAAGTGGGCTTCATCAATTTTAGCCTTTTTATACCCTCCACCATACATAGTATGGGGGGTATATTAGACATAACAAAGTACACTAGAGCCCCGACTTGCGTCGTTTTGCACAGATCAGTCTTTTGTCTGTAGCCAAGTCAAGTTCTAAGATGGGCTATATCGGTCCACGATATCGTATATCCCCCATATAACGGTACCCCCGTTATTTGGTATTTTGATGATTGTAGTCAAATTTTTCAATGAAATTGTTTGAAAATCCACAAAAGGAGTTCCTTCTGAGCACTTTAGCCCCCGGAAGGGTATCTATTACTATAAAAGAGGAAAATGGTTGCATGTTTGTTTGTAATTTATGGGCTCGAAACCCCTGAACAGATTTTCCTGAAAATTTCCAATTGTACTACAACATCGCCTGAAAGTAACATAGGCTATATACATTTTTGAAATTCCACTTGGAACTGGAGGCATAGCATCAGAATCTTAGGTACTTCCCAAACATTTAGATTTTATATGCACATATCTATTGATCGATTACAGATACAGTCTCCAAATATAGAATGCGTTACGGAATTTGAAACAAAAATGAATTCGCCAAATTATATTGATATCGGTTCAGATTTGGATATAGCTCCCAGAAATATTTTCGGCCCATTTCATATATTTGATGAACCAAACACGATACGTATTCCCGATTCCAATGAAATTCGGACAGAGCGACGAAATCTGGTACAAAAAAAACTGCCAAATTTTACTGAAATCGGTTACGATTTAGATATAGCCCCCATATATATTTTCGGCCGATTTTACATATTTGATGCACCCAATGCGATATGTAGGGTGATGAAAAACTGCAACCAACCTCAGACTGTAGACATTTTTAAGCCACTCATCCGACAGCTGTTAAAACTATTCTAGTGTCAGCTCATTATATTGTTTCCAAGCGTACAAAAGCAAATTGTTGAACATTTTGCCAGAAAAAAAGTTATTCGTGATGGAGTTCAAGCGTGATAGTGTGATTTCTTTATATTTGGCTGGAAATCCACAAGTGACTATCGTTAGAGCACTCCAGCATTTAAATGTAAATAAATCGCCGAAAAATGGCTCGTGAGCTAATTATATCGCAATTTTCCATTCGGCAAATATTGAAAAATGAGCTCGGGGTAAAGCCATTGAAATTCCAAAAAGTGCAAGAACTTACACCGCAACAGAAAGAAAATAGACTCAAAAGAGCTAAAGAGTTGCTTTGCTTAGCCGAAATTGGTGAACTGCCGAATTTGGTTTTCTCCGATGAAAAAACATTTGTTATCTGGCAGTTTGTAAACAAACAAAATGATCGTGTTTACTTGCCAAAGAGGTCAGTTGAAAATGCGCACCTTCGATTGGCAACCAGAACTCAAGCGCCGGCCATGGTGATGGTGTGGGCCGCCGACCGTGGCATCATAATAAATGACGAATACTATCGCGAAAATATTCTGGAGGGTGTATTAAAGCCTTGGGCACGCAAACATTTTGGCCGCAGACCTTGGACATTTTAAAAGAACTCAGCATCATCGCAATCAGCACGCGCCACCCAAGAATGGTTACAAAATGAGGTTCCTCGCTTCATTTCCAGCGCATAAGGGCCACCAAAATCTCGGGATACAAATCCGTTGGACTATTGTGTCTGGAGTAATTTGGAAAGCGAGGCTGGCACCAAAGTATCGATCACCTCAACCAAGCGCTTCGCCGGGAATGGACCAAAATACCGCAGAGCAACATTCGGGCAGCGTGTGACGGTTTCATTGGCCGTTTGAAGGCCATAATTCGTGCCAAAGGTTACCAATTCGAACAAATCTAAACTTATTCTAAAATTTGATGCTATTTCCGACGTTCAAAAATGTAAAAAAAATGTAAAAATTATAGCGCTGGACTTTGTTGCCTATACTTACTTCTATGTTAAACTCCATCGGAAGTGTCAAATTTCAGGCCATTTGGACTGATATTGACCATTTAGTGCACAATTAACCCGAAATAATTTTTCAAATAGATTTTTTGGAAATCCGAACTAACGGGCACGAAAAACCGGCCGGAGAAAATGTTGTAATTTAACATTTCGAATTCACAGCCTATCGGCGAACTTCTTTTGAATACTTTTACCTCAGTGTTATTTTTATCTTATGTGCCACTCAATAATATCGTATGGGTTATACTTACACTTGAATATCAAATTGGAGTCTTTATAGAAAGTATGTAATCCAATTCCAACATCTGATATAATGTTTCCGTTATAATCTTCATGATATTTTTATAAGTTTTTTTTTGGTTTATTCAAAGAGTCTGAAAATAAACGAACAAAAAAAAAACACATTAGGTTAGATTAATTGGAACTTTTTTATTGTTTCAAACTAAGATTTACAACTTGGGAAAAATTGGACGAAGTAACAACTAGGAAAATCGCACAAGATTACCGTAATTCTACATTTTTAAGGATAGAAAGCACGTCTTCTTTCTACGCCAATGAAACCAAGCTCGTTCCTTTCAGCAGCAAAGGAACTCACTCGAATACTGAATCTTGGTATAGATGTTTTCAAATGCCTTTTTGCTTATGTGCGAGGGTATTTAAGCTTCGACCCGGCCGAACCTAAGATCTTTTTATACCCTCAGGTACAATTCTACAGATATATGTATATAATTTGATTCGGCTAGAATGTGCCATATTGAAATTTAAATTTTAGACACTAAGATTCTTTGGACGAAATCCGTTTCAGGACATTTGGAGTCGATCTAGCAATGAACTTACATCGAATCAGACCACTAATTATGCCACTTCTCCAATAAAAGTTTAAAAGTATCACATTGAGCTTTAGGAGCAGCCGATATAAAATCGCTACATCGTCATAAGGCAGGTACAAAAATTTACAAAATTGGGCCACTACTTTTTGTGCCTAACCAACAAAGGGTCAACATTTGAAATAATAATAGCTTTCTCGAATGTCAAATTCATGTCTGATTCTCATCAGCCTATCCACTCTTTCAGAGGTGTCCCCACAAAATTATAATATTCGGGGAGCACCCGATATAGTTTAAAATTGGCACATCATAATATTTAAATAATATATGGTTAGGATCGAAGGACAAACTTGTGAACAATTATAACTCCCTTAAGCGCTAAATCAATGCCCGTTTTTATACCCTCCGCCATATGAATAGAGAGGGTATATATCATTTTTTAGACACTAGGTCTCTTTGGACCAATTTCGATTCAGGACATTTGGAGTTGGTCTAGGGATGTACGTACGATAACTCTTTCTAATATTATTATCAAACATAGATCGAGCCCGGAGATGGGCAATATCGGTCCAATCCTTCTGGTACCTCTCCCACAAATGGTCGAAATTTTCAAAGAAAATAATTTACTGCACAGAAATAGAAAGGATAATCCGATTTTGCTCCAACTTTGGAAGATGTGAGAACATGTGAGAAAATGGACAATATCGGTCCACTGTCATAATTATAACTCTTATAGAATGTGATATACGTGTCCCGATTGTCTTCAAATTACACATATCACAATATTTTTATTAATCCAAGGTGTGGAATGTATCGGTCCACCCCTTCTGATACCTCCAAAGGGTAAAAAATTTGAACATTCATGAAGCTCATAAAATACCAAACTATCATCCGATTCCATTCAGACTTGGCACATCTCAATATTTCCACAAGTTTTAAATATGGTAGAGATCAGACCACTCCTTCTGGTACCTCCCCCACAAAGGGTCAATGTTTTGAATAACCTAAACGATTATAAAATCTGATATAAACATCCAGTTCTCTTCATATTACACTTCGCACTATTTCTTCTGACACAAGGTCTACTATAAAGATGGGATATATCGATCCACTCCTTCAGGTACCTTCCCCACAAAAGTTCAAAATTTTGAATACCATGAAGTTCATAAAACACGGAATTAACATCATATTCCATTCAGACTTGGCATATCTCAATATTTGCATCAACACAAGTACTGTTATAAAGATTATCAGGCGAGTTCAAGATTTTGAAAACCAAAACGCTCAAAGAAAGCGAAATAAGCATCCAACTCTCTCCAAATTTCACACCTACAAACATTTTCGCTAACACAAGATCTGTTTTGAAGATGATATATATCTGCGAACCACTTCTGGTACCTCACCCACAAACGGTCACAAATTCCAATACTTATGTATACATGTTCTAACTTGCGAAACGAGTCAGCGATTATGTGTAACTTTCTATATCCAAATATTTCTCTCAACTGCAAACCTAAGATGAATATAAAATTTATGATTTCGCATAAATTTTACAATAAATCTTCGATTTTTTTTTGAAAATTTTCCCATACCAATTTTTTTATGTGTATTTGATGAATTATAAAAATTGAATACTTCGGTCGACTATACCCCACCCACATCTTAAAATTTTCTAAAAATATTGTCCAAATCTGGCACGTCACAATATTTATATTATATTTATTTAGGTCCGATACGAAATGGTCAATATTGGTCAATTCCTTCGGAACCTACACCATAGAGGGTCAACAATTTGGATAATCATAACACAAGTCAAAATATAATAAAATAATCGAACATTGGCTGAGGGTATACATCTGTCGGCAAAACCGATTCATACTTTTTAATCTTTTTTTGGAAATTATTTAAAAAATTTTGGCCTCAATTTCAAAATATTAGTCGTAGCCAACTTGTCTATAAAATACCATTCTTTTTGAACTATGCTATAAATGTGAGCAACGTAGACTAGCCAACTACTTTAAAGGTTAAACGAAACATGTAAGGTCTTAACACCGTTGTATGAACGAACGGGTTTTCCACCCAACTGACAGACAAGCGTTTATGGCAAAGCTATGGAACGGTGTTTTCGTTTTTAACTTCGAATATGGCCATTGATTTAGTTTATAGTTAGAATGAAAAATTGTTTTTGGCAATTTATTAAAATATTATTGTAAATTTCATTTGTCATAAAAACCCAATTGAACCGAGACTCAATAGAAAAAGTCCTTAAAAATTATTGTTTCAAAATTGGCTCTAATTTATTGACAATCTTTTTTTAGCCTTGAGTGATTTGATGGAAAATATAAAAATTATGCAATCTGTTTGCAATCAACTTCGACCATTTAAATATCATCCGTTTCAAAGACTTAAAAATAGTTGTTTAAACCGCTGCAGTATTTACCACACTTCTTAATAATTCATTTGAAATAATTTTAAAAAGAAAATACATATTTCATTCTCTGCCATCCCTATTCCCAGAACTATAATAAACCTTCCCTGTAAACCCGAGGAAATGAGAACTAAGCTAAGAAAACCAATTAAATTGAACAGAACATTTAATTAACCACACGCAACAATGCCACAAAAAAATGGGACTGGTTACGGGGGATGGAACTGGTTAGAGACACCGTAGGGACAGTTTTATGTGCGTATAGATTTGTGTGTACAAATGCAAGGGGTTTTAAAGTCGTCGAAATATATCCTTAGGCCTTGTAACAATAACAACAATAATAATGAAGAAAAACCACCCTCCTTCGTAGAAAGAGTTTTAAAAATTGATTAAGTGTTTGATGTCTATCGGGACGGGCTAATGAAATATGAAATAGAAAAACGAACAACTTTATAAATGTTTAATGGTGAATGTCTTTACCGGCTTGATTGAAGGAAAGAAGGACCGTGGTGCGTATTATTCAAGGCTGTCTCTGTTGGTTTGAGTGACAAAAACATACAAATGAAATAGTTAATAAATAAAAACAAGTATAAAGCAGTAGGTACGGTCGTACAGAACTTTGAATACCATCCAGCATTTGGAACGATTTGGAAATTTTTGAACGAATTAAAAAAATGTTAAAATCTTAAAAATACCGAATATGGTCATTATATTGGAGTCTATACGAAGACGTGGACCTGCATAGGCAATTTTTATCATAAGCCATTACAATATATGTATGGTGCTTATACGAAGACCTGGACCTGCATAGCCAATTTTCTGGCCTAAACTGTAGTTTCTATGAAATCTAAATACGAAATTTGAAACAACTCCGGTGAATAATGTTGCTAAAATCATCAAAAAACCGAATTTTGGGAGGTACCGTTATACCACGTTACGAAGACGTGGGCCTGCCTGTATATGCAATTTTTTGTCAATGGCTGTAGTACCCATTACGAATTCTAAAAAACGAAATTGGAAATAATTCCTGTGAATAAAGTCCCTAAAATCGTCAAAATATCGAATATCGGAGCGTACCGCTGTATCTGGGCTATACAGATAAAAAAAACTGCAACAAAGTCAAAAGCCATAATTTTTACAATTTTTTTTTATTTTATTGAATGGAAGCAAAAATGTCGGAAATAGCATCAAATTTTAGAATAAGTTTAGATTTGTTCGAATTGGTCATCTTTGGCACGAATTATGGCCTCCAAACAGCCAATGAAACCGTCACACGCTGCCCAAATGTTGCTTTGCGGTATTTTGGCCATTCCCGGCGAAGTTCTTACTTGAGGTGATCGACACTTTGGTATTTTTTGGTGCCAACCTTGCTTTCCAAAATACTCCAGACACAAAAGTCCAATGTGTTGGTATCCGGAGATTTTGGTGGCCATGGTGCGCTGGAAATAACCATTTTTGTGTGGCGCGGGCTGAGTGCGATGGTGCTGTTTCCTGTTGGTTGGTCAAGGTCTGCCTTCAAAATGTTTGCGTGGCCAATACTTTAGTACACCCTCCAGAATATGTTTTCTTCCGTCCACTTCCTTGACGTCGGGCTACGCTACCAGTATCACGGTAACGAGCGATGGTACGAGACACAAAAGATTTATTCACATTTAAATGCTGGAGTGCTCTAACGATATCCGCTTGTCGTTTTCCAGGCAAATATAAAGAAATCACACTATCACGCTTGAATTCCATCACGAATAACTTTTTTTCTGGGAAATTCTCACCAAAATGCTTTTGTACGCTTGTAAACAATATAATAAGCTGTCACTGGAATAATTTTAACAGCTGTCGGACGACAGGCTTAGAAATGACAGCAGTCTGAATTGGTTGCAGTTTTTTCATCTCACCCTGTATACACTCCCTAACCATATGGCTAAAGGTATAACTAGCAACGTAGCTGAGGGTATAAAAAAGAGTACTTTGTGTTCAACCACTTTGAATGACCAAACATTCACTCATACCTTTGCATGAACATTCTCTTTTTATCATACACATGCATTTTTGTCCGATCTCATTTTGAACGACCCTGCTATATAACACGGAACAGTATTTTGAAGTTTGAGTACATTTTGTA